GAATCGAACAGATATATAAATCGCTTTTTTCACAGGTAATGATTTGTTGTTTTTCGCCGATCCATGATTTCTTTTTTGTTTTTTTTTGATGAGATTAGACCACAGATCTATCGATTTTGAGATCTGAATTCTTACTTTTTTCGATCATCGATCGGTATAATTTTGTAGAGAATCTCGCCGGAGTTTTGATTCATATATTCGAAGGTTATGGCGGAAGAACACAGGCTTCAAGAACCACGATTATGTGCTAAGAATTGTGGTTTCTTTGGAAGCACCGCTACACAAAATCTTTGTTCTAAATGTTTCAGAGATGTTCAACATCAAGAACAAAACTCTTCCACCGCTAAACACGCTCTTAACCAAACCTTAGCCGCCGTTTCTACAGGTGGCGGTACCGCGTCCTCCTCCGTATCACCACCGCCTCAAGCTGATTCGAAAGAAATCGTCGAAGCGAATTCGAAGAAACGAGCGGCGGCTGAGGAGGAGGAAGCGGCGCCGTCGCAAGATCCGAAGCGGTGTTTGACTTGTCGGCGGCGGGTGGGAATAACGGGGTTTCGGTGTAGGTGTGGCTTCGTTTTCTGTGGGACACATAGGTACGCGGAGCTGCATGAATGTTCGTTTGATTTCAAGAGGATTGGGAAGGATAAGATCGCTAAGGCGAATCCGATTGTGAAAGCTGATAAGCTTGAGAAGATTTGAGTTTGTTGTTTGTTGTTGTTGTTTGGTTTGTGTGTTTGAATGAAACCCACACACATGATGATGAAGAAGAGCAAGAAACAAACATGCTAATGTAAATTTAATCATATCATTTTAAGCTTTATTTGATGATTTTCTTCAGTTTGGTTATAAAATTTGCCTCTCCCCATTGGTATTTAGATTTGACATCCATTATTGATTTGATTATGAGTAGAATTGGGTTTGGTTCGTCATGGTTTTGATGTTTCTACAGGTCTGGCCATTCTTGTCTGCCAAGTTTATGGCCGGCTTTGGGTGACTTTGTCTTCTTTTTTCCAACCCTCATAAAGCTATGAGATGTGGTTTTGACTCACGTTCACGCACTATATTGATTAGCATCTCACAAAGTTGAAAATAATCTTGTTGTTACTTGTTACAGAATCCTTTGGCACTTTTCTTTATGTAAAATGCATGTTAAACAAGCTGAAAATAATTAAGAAGACCTTGCTTAGCTTGAGAAGACCTTACAAAATAACGAAGAAAAACTTGTTCCTCTTCGGTTAACAGAAGAAGACCCTCTTGAAAATATAATGGGCCAAATGGGCCACCGAATATGAAATTTTCATCGGTCGCAAGAGAACACAAAGCATCGGATTAGTCATTAGAGAAGACGAAGCCGATCTCTCAGGACAATTTGTACAGTAGTTGTCCAAGATCAGATCAGATCGTAGAATAGAGAAGGATTTGTTGCCGCTACTGAATCAGAGTCCAAGGTGCTTATGATGAGCGATTTTAATGTTGCTTTTGTAGGAAAATAACTCTGGAGGATGAATCACAAAAGAGGTCAATGGTCTCCCTTTTCCTACGTGCACTTGCCCTCTTTTGGTAAGCATCCAGTATCTCAGCAAATGAACATTTCTCTAAGCTTATCCTATAGCTTATACGTCGTTTGAAAGCTGCTTCTAGGATCCAACGAATAGCTAAGGTTTGTTGACGATCCTTGGCTACAATCCCAGGGACATCATGAATAGTACCCGCTACTCCTAAGGCCACCGATCTCTATGGCAATTTCTTTCGACGCAGTCCTAAAAAGAAGAAAAAAGAAATTTAACAAAAGCCCAACCGATCGGTGGACAGGCGCAACTGATCGGTGTGCGGCGTCTTTTTAACCAGTTAGTTTAATTTTTTCATCGATCACGTTTTTTAATGGATCATCTCTTCTTTTAACTCTTTTTGACACTTTTTTCTTAAAAAGCCCACTTATGCTTATGCTTCCTGAAAACACTCAAAAATATCGAACACTGCTTATTCTCGACTAAAAGAATCTAACAAATAAACAAAAGAAACCTATAAAATGTGTTAAAAATATCACTTAACATATCCACATTTACTTTTCTTTTATTCGATTTTTGAATGGTTCGTTTTGTAGTTGGAGGGGATGGACCAAAAAATGTGCGATTATAGGAAAATAGAGTCGAAATGCTGGGTGCAGTTCCACATTCTCGTGTGCGCTCTGTTATGGTAACTGGTCATATTTTCCTCAACATATGTGCTGATTCTTACACTTTTTATGTATAAAATTCACAAAATTTACACTAGTTTTTATCAGTTACTGCTACTACAGTCTTGATCTTTTGGTTGTTCTTTAAAGAAGCCTTATGTATAGCTATATTGGAGGCGGCTAGTTGCGGATTATTAACTGTCAGCACTCGTGGTTTTATCAGTTACTGCTACTACTGTCTTGATCTTTTGACAGTTCTTTAAAGAAGCCTTTTATCAGTTATTCCTTTCTTTAAAATTCACCAACGAACAAACTTCAAACCGCAACTTTTGAAACTTACTAACCTGAAGAAAAAGGGGAAAAAGGGTGAGTAAAACAATTTTACTCAGTGAGAAGATCAACTCTGTCCACTGGACTTATTGTAAACACGTTCCAAACATAATCAACAACCACTACTTAGCATAGATTCAGAATGTCTATCAATCAAAGAAACAAGCATTTGTCTTGCTCATATATAGTTTTAAGTATTTTAACTTATGGCTTACTCAAGCCTCTTTTAACTCATGGCTACTCAAGCCTATTTATGGAAGACCATGGCCTGTAGCTCGATCATTCCCTATATTGCTCGTCAGCGGTTAATGACATGCAATGAACCCGTAGTCCATTACAATCCAATCTCATACTCTTTAGTTTTTTCTTCTCATATACATATACATAATCATTTTTATAATTTAATGTCCGTTAAAAATGATTTCAAATATGTCACTAATGCATTTAACATATCATGTTACTAACAACCTAACTTTATTTCACACAAAATTCATATAAATCAACAAAGACAATTCTCGAGCCTATACTCAGAAACTATCGAAGAGTAATATAAGGAAAGAGGTTACTGCATATCCGCAAATACCACCTTCACCTTAGCCTAGTTGAAAATAAAGAACATTTCTTTCTCCTTTCTCCTTTAGACATACTTTATATCTTATATGCAACAACATGCTCTTTAGCTCCAATTTGGTCCTCCATCAACTAAGGCCTTATTCCATGAGTCATTATAGGTCCTGCAAAGCTTGAGCTCAAATTGAGCTCGTTTACTCAACCAAACAATAAAACTTGTTACAGTTTACTCTAAACAGAAATGTCATGGAAACATACGTATAACTCAAATTCTAAACGTAATCCCACCGTTGAATATTTAGCCAGAAGTACCATGAAGCACCCCAAATTTCGTCTCGATCAGCATAGTTTCGGGCCTCAAACGTTGAGTCAAAGAAGCCAATACAAAATTGTTTCCTAGGATTCCAGATTTACCAGATTCTTCAGTTACTTGTCCAGAAAGAAACATGCATAACTTCTCGAATATAACCTTGATTCAAACTCCATCAGTTGCTATGGATTCTTGACAAGTCGAGCTTTCCAGATACACCTTCCACGTCATCTGATTCTCTCTGATTCGACAGAAATAAGCCTTACAAAACCCTATCCAGATTTATCTTAATTTGCTTCTTCCTTGTCTTTCTTCTTTTTTTTTTTTTTCTTTTCTTCTCCATTTCTGATCTGCTCGGGCGTTGCTCCTCCTTCACTGTAGAGGCTTGCCACAACAATAACATAACTAGCCAGATCCAGAGGTGGTTTTCACCGCCTCTGCGACGTCTCGCTTTATCTCCTCTTCTCACGAAAAACTCTCTTGGCTCTCTATCTCTCTTCTACCTTATAGTTATACCCATCTCTTCTCATCTTTATTTCTTCTCGAGTCATGATCAGGTTTGCTTCTTAACTCTGCTGGTTCCGATGGCTACAAGTGCAACCTTCTCGTCACAATCTCTCTCTTCTCTGCCCCCTTTACTTTTTTTTCTCAAATCTATTCCTCTCTGGTTTAGGGTTTGGTCCAGTGATGAGATGATGTTGGATGTTGGTGCTGGATACTCATGATATGTGCGGAACAAGATACGCACAAGACGATGATGTCTCACGAGAATCCTTTCTCTTCGTTTCTTTCTCTCGACAAAAGCGGCTAGGTTTTAATTATCTTAACGGAGAGGGAGATGCTCACATATATACATACACATGTCATTTTTGTGGATTTTCATTCTCATGTGTCTTAAATGAGATATATGATAATGTTAAAACAAAATGGCCCAATGATGTGGGATCGGGTGTTACACCTTTGGCGGTTACTTCAGTATTGTAGGTAATCTTGTGATTGCTTCTACCTTTTCCTAATACATTGTTTCTCACAAAATGTTATATCTCCAGATTCAATGAATTTTGCCTCAGCCTGATGAAAATATCGAGGAGGCACATGATATCTGTCTTTGCCATCGCCAAGGAGTTTAGGTACCGAGTAGGCTTGGGCGTTCGGGTACCCGTTCGGTTCCGGTTCGGTTCTAGTTCTTATGGTTCTAGAGTTTAGAATCCATATAAGAGCCGAACAATTTCGGTTCGGTTCCGGATCTGGTTTCGGTTCTTTCAGTTCTGAAGTTTAGGATCCATTCAAATATTTTTTTTGGACATTTTTAGATTTGGGTATTTTCGGATATTTTGAGTATTTTTTGGATATTATAAGTATTTTTTAAAATATTTTTAAATATTTGTTGATTATTTAGGTATTTTTGGTTATTCGATCTAAAACAACTAATATTTTAGATATAAACTCATATTTCGGATATTTTTTGGTACCCAAAATATTTCGATTCGGTTCGGTTCCGGTTCTGGTTATTTTGGTTCTAAAATTTAGGATTCATTTGAATATTTTAAAATTTCGGTCGGTTCCGGTTCGGTTCTTTTTGCTTCGGTTCCGATTTGATTCTTTCGGTTTGGTTATTTTGCTCAAGCCTAGTACCGAGGGTCTAAAGGAAGAATATAAAGTGTAAAATGGGTGACCCAAGTTTCAGCTCCGTCGATTTTTGAAATTTTGTTCCCTAAAATTACAAGTGAGCCGTAGATTCATTGTTTTCCTAGAGTTTTCAGAATTCAGATTTTTCATTACAAATTGTTATCTTTCCCAAACGGAAAATAGTTATGGAGAAGGGAGAGACGCTGATGTAGGCAAGAATTCACACTCGCGAGAAACAAATATGATTACCTTTTGAGTAATATAGTATTACTGTGTTTGTTTTAGAGAAAATTATGTAGTACTAAGAGCATCCCTATTGGGGAGATAAAATTTTGATAATACAACATTACTGTAATTTTATGATAAATCTTTGATTTATAAAATAAAATTGAACTAATTAGATGAAGACAAGTGTTATTTGAGTATCTCATTAAGAGATCTCATAATCTCTCTCATAGTTGTACAGTGACATGAGTCAATCTTTTCGAGAATACCATCCGAAGGCAAAAAAAAACAATTAGTTATCATATAAAGATAGTCAATATGAGTCAAAATGCTTAGATTGACGAGTATTTTAAAATACGATTTACGTTAAGGGCACGGCAGAATACCGTATAGCATATACGGCTGTTAATGCGGAATTATACAGTGGATATTTTTTTGTTAGTAAAAATATATAGATATATAATTTGTCGAGATATGCATACATAATTACAAAATTATCATAACCATAAAACATAATTATAATAATCATGATGAATACTATACATGAATACAAAAAAAAAAATCACTTTTACAAAATACTTTTAAAATTTTGAATAACTAATAAGCATGAAAATAATAGAAAAAT